GAAAAGGTGTGAAATGGAAAAAAGGAATAAAATATTGTGGCATCTTAAAGACTAATATTTGTCCCCAAGATGAGCTTTCATGGATTGAAGCCAAACCTACCTGGCAAACCCTGGAAAATGCCTGCACTTTTAATTAATTAATAGCTTGGCAGTCCAGTTTCTGTGTTACCAATGTGCTGTCAATTTGCCTGTCATCTTTCTCCTCACTGGTCATGACCCACACCACCACGAGGTATGTATAACTACAGATGGTCTAAATATGAGCAGTCCCCATGTCTGAGGAAACAGTTTCATATATTAAAACTCACACTGATTTTTTTTTATTCTTTAAGGTGCAATAATACAGGTAGTTTGTCTTTCCTTCCTTTTTTGCCAATGCTTTTGCTGACAATACTTTCTGAATCAAAATAAATAGCTTAGGAGTCTGTTGTGGTATCTCTGGGCCTAGAAACAAGCTCGAAAGGAGGCCCGTCTTCAGCAGGTTAACATTCTCTTCACCCTGAGTATGTAATCAAAAGAGGAGGGCTCCGATGCAACATCCAAGGATTGTGATCCTCATTTCTAATCTAAATTGATACACCAGTTGTGTAAGTGGACCACAGTGTTCAGAGCGGTAACTAGTTAATTTGGTGCCTGGTGCAACTGGCACCGTCTTCCACCCTTTCCACCCTGAGGCAAAGGTGCGAGCACCCCATGAAAAAGAAGGGTGAGAATATGTTGTCCTCCCCAAAAGAAAGTATATGCATTCCAGAAAAAGAAAGAGAATAGGCCCAGGAGGTATTTCCCTGTATTTTCCTAAGACTCATCAGTAGAGTCACCTCTGGATTTGGGTGCCTGGGGGCCAGTTGCTCCACCCTAGTTACAGCCCTAGAAGTGATGAGGAGGGAGCTGTGACTTCAGACATTATTGCTGGAACATGTTAACAGCAGTTAAAATACAAGGGTGCTGAAGCAGACGTCAAAATACCAGAACTGGTCTAGCCTTGACAGCCTGCACGGTGTAGTATAAATAGCAGTCAAGAGACCTACATGGGTTCAGCGCTCCACTCTGCCATGGAGGGTGGGTGAAAATGGTAAACCACTTGAATAGCCTACATACTGCAAAAATCCTATTTGTGCCTCAATAAGCTGGAAGCAACTTATTGTTCGTCGCTTTACAGATACTGAGCAGCATATGTAACGTAGGCCTAAAGCAAGAGGGGACGTGGTGGCGCTGTGGGCTAAACCGCAGAAGCCTGTGCTGCAGGGTCAGAAGACCAGCAGTCGTAAGTTCGAATCCACGCGACGGAATGAGCACCCGTCGCCTGTCCCAGCTCCCGCCAACCTAGCAGTGATACTGAGCAGCATATTTAATGTAGGCCTAAAGCAAGAAGGTGGAAGTTACTGAGGAAATTAGGGCTGTTGCGACAGCCTCTTATATTATTGGCATTCTTGAATTGTTTCTAATCATGACTGATGATAGTTGAAAGGTACTCATAATATGAATTTCAAAGAGGTAGCTGGGTTAGCATGTTGGCAGAATTAAGAGTGTAGTGAGAGATACCGAAAAAGGAAGAAAATGAGGAAAAGCAAAAGACAAAATATTTCAAAAGCTCACATTAACACAAATGTGGTAGGCTTTATGGTGCCACAATATTTTGTTCTTTACCCCCCACCTCCTTTAACTTTGCTAACAAAATATACCGTATTTTTCTGTGTATAAGACTATACTTTTGTCTAAAATCTTTAGACTAAAAATTGAGGGTCATCTTATACACGGAAGTAAGCTGAGGAAATAAGTGGAGGGGATAGCAGGGATTAAAGTGATCCTGCAGGGCTATGATCCCTGCTTTCCCCTCCACTTGCTACGCCCCATTTATATTTCTTAATTTTGGGTTAGAAAAGTAGGGGGTGTCTTATACATGGGGGCGTCTTATACATGGGAAAAATACGGTAAACAGCTGACAGAATCTTTTGGGATGAAGGTCCCCAGGTGAGATCTGTTCAAATCAGGATCATAATACGTAATCTGGGACCACTGTAAGTATAGCAGGTGAACAGTAAAGGAAATCTACTGTACGATCAGAACGCAGAAAAACAGAAAATACTCCTGAATTAGTGGTAGTGCACAAGCTAAAAACAATGAAATGAAATGGAAGCATGGTGACCTAAGAGGGGAGCTATTCCTTTTACAATGGTCAGGAACAGGATTTTCTCCATGTCTACAAAAATACACAAAGTCTTCATTGCTCACTTGGGAGAAGCTTCCACCTACAGTTCTAGAAGGCATCTGGAGGAGAATACTTTGCTTATTTTTTTTTTGTTTAATTTTTAGTAAGTAGTAGGTGTGACAGCCTCCTCACACGTCATAAAGGAGGTGTCACGTCACTCTCACACACTTCAAACACGGTGCCACCAACCATTCCCTCAAATGACTCTTCAAACTAATAAATGATTTTGAAAATAAAAACTTGTGTTTATTGGTTACAACAAAAGGAATGGTAAATCACTTTAATAACTCAAATAAAAAGGCAATAACTATAATAAAGTATCACTCACTCACACACTCTCTCACAGACCCTTACTATACTGTATAGCACAGTTCTTCACAATAACAAACCCTAACCCCCTAACCGGTCCCTAACCAGGCCCTATCTTAAAACACTCACACCCATTCACTCCCCTTATATACATTGGCTCCATCCCTTATGTCCCACCTTCCGTCACGCTATTGGCAGATGACATGCTGCTACAGCAATGACGGACAGGTGGCTTCCCAGCTACCGTAACATTAGGTATAGAAGTGTGTGAGCTATACTGAGAGCCTGGGAGCTAAGCTGGCAGGGGAACTTGAATTCAGAATGCCCACACACTGCATTCTAATCAAGCTAGCCCCAGTTTTCTCACAAAAAGCAGGGTCAATAGTAAAAGCTTCCTCTCTCATCCCTGTCATCATCTCAGTTCAGATCATCCTACTGTCCCATTTCAGTTCTGGTAGGGAATTGACATATTTGCTAATGAGTTAAATATTGTCAGATCTGCTTAGGTCCCCTAGTCTAATTCGTCTTAACATTTAATTTGGCCCCCTAAAAACTCATATACAGTATTATCAACCTGCTCTGGTAGCCCACTGTGGTTGCAGTGGAGAGAGGTGCTCCCAGCCCCCAAAGACCAAGATATTAGCTATAGGCTAATGAAGGTGCTTGCTAAGACGTTGTAGCATACAGCATTGAATAGATCCTTATAAAATCCTGTTTATTAATGCCAACAAGGAATTATTGCATTGAGAACCAGCAGGTTCTTTATAGATTAACAATATTACATTTTTTAAAATAATCGTATAAAACAGTAGCCTTGGTACTGTACAACCAAAGTCTGAATTTTTCCCTATTATCATTTCAATAATGTATTCTGCTGTGGCTCAACACTTTGGAAATATGTTTCAGTTGCTGGATGGAACGTGTTTTGCAGATGATGCAGTGTGGTCTCTGTTTTTTAGAAGCATATCAGGATTTCCAAGACAGTTCCTGCCAATTTTGGATTTACTAAGGCCCTTGTCCAAATAATCCCTGCACTTTGCCTATCTTTGTTGCCAGTGGTGGCTTCCAAAATAAGGCTCACTGGCTCATCAGAGACCTTGTAAAGGCCAAAGCAGCCAAACATAATGTATTCCTCTGTCCAAAAGGCAGAGGACAGGGTGGTGTAGTCAACAGAGGGAGGAGTCTTTCTGGGAGATTTGTGGTATTTAGCAGAAATGGTGCTAAGGGTCTAGATTTCCTCAAACCCTCCTCTGTAATTTTTTCTGTACACAAAATGTTTAACAGAGCACAGCAGAGTGCTTCACAGTATTCAGCACCCCGTAGAGTGTGCTTCACAATGTGCAGCCTTCATCCGTGCAACTCGCAAAATGGATTGTTTGCCTCTTAGCTCTAATGTCTTTGTGAATCCATTTCTACTTGGGCCCCCAATCCCAACTGATAGCATCCTAAAACTGTCCCAAGTTGATTCTTGCTTCCATTCTCTTCCTGCGGCATTTAATCTAGTGAAAGAGAAAGTGGAAAGTATGATGGTTAGTGCTTAATGCTAGGAACCCTCCCCAACACAGCCAGCCTGGATTCTCTGTATTATGTCCACTGCCACAGATCCCAATGCAAAAATGACGGCAATTGCCTCTCTTTCCACTATATGACTGAAGGGCTCCCTCTTCCCTGCCCTCCTTCCTGTAGGGCATAAGCAGAGCTGTGATATGGTCCATGCAATGTACAGTTAGTGTCACTTCTCTTGCTTTGTATTGTATCCCGTTGTTGATGTACCCCAGTATCCTGTTTGCCTTTTTTACTGCAGCCACACACTGGGCTGATGGCTTCAAGGATTTTTCTACAATAACCCCTAAACCCCTTTCCTGGTCAGTACGCTGCATGACTGTTCCATGTAATCTGTACTCTCAATATTTAGTTTGTTGCCCCCTAATGTATTTCTTTGTACATTTGTCTGCATTGAATTGCATTGTCCATGTTATTGGCACAGTCACCTGAAAGACCCTTCCGGACTCTGCTCCGGACGTGGTCGCATTGTGGCTCATTCTTGGCTGTATCTTAGATTTTGGCCTCATCAGCTAAATGTGGTTCTCTTACATTTGATATTCTCATCCAGATATGCACCTGTGTTATAATATACCAACTTTGCAAGGTGGCTCCTGGACCCCCCTCCCCCCCACTAAGATGCACTCTCTATGCTGAGATTCCTCTCTCACCTCAGCCACTATTGTTGAGCCAGGAGTCCTCTTCTCTCACCATGTTACACTTTGGATGAACTGCAAATGTTGGACTTGAAACTCCTGCAACTGCTGTCCTTAAAACATTTTGTTAACTTTGCGTTTCATGCAAACAATTTGGTTTAAATTTCTGCATCTTGCTGGAACTTATTCCACGCTGTGTGTGGGCTCTGCATTCGTAATGCTGTGTGACGGGAGATGCCTTGTGCCCCTGTGCTCACAAAGTATTCTTTTGTGTGTGCTTGTAGGAATGAAGTGACAAAAATGAAATTTGAAGGCAAGACATTCTATTTATATGTAAGTCAGAAAGAGGTGAGTGCCTCCTGCGGAACTGCACAGGTACTGTCCTTGCCTCCGTAGTGTTAGCATTCTGACAAGGGTTCCCTAAGCTACCCTGAGCGCCCCTTATTCTGGGACATGTATTAATGGGGTTGATGCATTCACTTGATATACATAAAGCTTAATAAAGGCATTGCCATGGGATTTTTCACTTGAAACAGTACACCTTACACTATTTATTTATTTATTTATTTATTTATTTATTTATTTATTTATTCATTTCATTCATTCATTCATTCATTCATTCATTCATTCATTCATTCAATTTATATCCCGCCCATCTGGTATATTGTACCACTCTGGGCGGCTATGTTTGATTGTGTGTTCCAGTCCGCAGCTAATTGAGGTGTTCAACCCACACAAGGGTATAGTCAGAAGGGGTAAATCAGAGCTGGGCAGAGGCACTTGGAACGGGAGCGGAGTTGAAATTCTGATGTTGACAGGAGAAAACAGGCAGAGATATCCATGCAAGAAGGCTGAAACACAGCATTACACTCCCATCTACTCTTTATATTGCACAGCAAATTACACCAAGATGTCTCTGCCATGTTTAATGGACACCTACCAAGATTAGTTAGCCTATGGGACTAATTGTAGAGTCAATTCATAATCTTGTCAGGGTGGAAGTTGCACTGTTGTCCTTACTTCATTCAAAGAGCACTTGGGGACATTTGCATTTTAAGCTCTTGTGGCAAGCACGGTGCTACGTCAAACTTGTCAATTAACCTTATGGTTTTTTTTCTTGGCTTTTGATAGGAAAAGAAAATCGTTCTGACTTATTTTGCTCCAACCCCTGAAGCTTGCAAGCACCTATGGAAATGTGGGATTGAAAACCAAGCCTTTTATAAGTAAGTGTTTTACAAAATCACAATTTATTCCACCACTGATAAGGTATAATTTACAGCAGCCACTGCCAATGTAAGGTATGATTATAAAAACCAGTTGGGAAAAACTCAGATTGTTTGTTTATAACAGTGGTTCCCAACCTTTCTTAAGTCATGACCCTCTTTTATAACAGCCAAGTAACCTGCGACCCTCCCAGCCACCTTTGCATAAAAAGGCATTTTTAATGGAGTGGAGTCATCTCTTTCTCAGAAAGTAGAGGCTTCTTTTCTCCCTTAAAGGGCCTGTTTCTCTGAAAAGGTGAGAAAGAAATGATCTAACAAGGGCTACAACTCATATAAAAGGTTCCGTGTGGTGTAGAGGATAGAGTGACGGACTAGGACTCTGGAGAACAGGGTTCAAATCCCCACTTTGCCATAGAAACTTACTTTGGGAGAAGAACTGGTAAAACTACTCCTTAAATATTTCTAACACTGGAAGTCCTACTATGGTTGCTGTAAACTGGTTTTGACTTGATGCTCAGAACACACATCCCACTCATATCAGGTGACCTGCTAGCCCCCAGAAAACACTTTGCAACCCCCTTGGGGATCCCAACCCTCCCGACTAAGAAACACTGGCTTGGAATCTAGATTATCTCCTTGTTTCTCTTCAAAGCAGAGCAGGGCAACACAGGGATATTGGGAGAGAGGGAGGCCTTATTTCTTGACAGTCTCCTTTGCATTTCAACCCAGATCATCTCCACCTCCCCCTTATTTTTACTAACATCTGGATTTATAACAAAGTGGAGGTTATGAGGCTCCCTTAGGACCCATTATTCTCTAGCCAGCCAATGCAGGACTGGTTTCAAGAGCACAGAATAGGAACCCAGCACATCAACTCCCAACTCTGTAAATTAAGCAGCTTGCAAATTGGTTGCCATGAGTATCATTTTACTTCTACCTCCACGCCAGCTGGCAACCTCACAAGGGGTTGTAGGACCCCAACATCTGATCCTTGCACTAAGTGCACATGTCAGAAGCGTGAAAAATGTGAAGTTATATTTCAATAGAACATATTTTGTTATGAAATGAAAAGCCAGGTTTTTCTAATGAGTTTTCTTTTAATCACTGGGATGCAAACAATGAAGATGCCTGCATTGCTTTACAAATCTCTTGTTTCTTCTCTGGCTTAATAAAAACAATGCCATGGTATTTTTCACACGAGCATCTTCTTGAACAGATAGTAGGTATTAACAAGCTGATTCTATTTTAGTCTTGATCCTGTATAGAAAATAAGTATCTTATCAAAAATGGGTTCTAGAAGGTTCTAGACAGAACCTGAGGTAACATAAGCTAGAAACTGAGTGCCTTCCTTCCTTGTCAAGCAGCTCAGCCTCCGGTGGGCTCCAACAATTACATTAAAGTGAAGAACCCAGGTGTCCCAGCCTTTGGATATAGCCTCGTGGATTAGGCCACTTTCTTGATGGACATGGAATACTGGGCAAAAAAAGCATTTTGTGAAAGCTATTCTTCAACTAAACTTTCAAAGACTTTTCAACCCAGAATTTAGTCTTTTTCCTACTCATATCTCTCACACTTGACCCTTATTCTGGGTCTGAAATTAATGCTTAGATAATTGGTTTTCTACTGCTAAGCAGCTACAGCTGGTGCCATGCTAATGATTCAAAGGATCATTTAAATCCTTTGAAGCAGACTGATATGAATTCAAAATTCTGATATAGTTTTTCTCTGTCCAAAAAACCCTTTTTCTCGTTATGAAGCTCAGTCAATGACAAGTTTTTTCATTTGGTTTGACATTCCTGTTCAAGATGTGTCTACCCTATACAGTTTTATGCCACCTTGACTGCCCTCACTTTACTCTATGGAATCCTGGGATGTGAAGCTGGGCAAGGCATTTAATAACCTCAAATGTGGTTCAGTGGGACTTCCAATATCTTTTTTTAAAAAGAATTTTAAAGATTTCACCAAACTAGAGATCCCAGGGATCTGTTATGATGGAGCCATGGCAGTCGAAGTAACAGTGCTGCAATGAAATAGCATGGATACCCTCTTCAACAGTGGCTTCATCATTAGGTCCATTAAGTTGAAAGGCACTGCAGAGTGGCAGATGGCACACATTCTCCAGCAAATTGCATGCCATACGCTAGCAGGTTATTTCCCTTGAATTTTGCATTGTTTGGTTTCTTTGCAGACTTAACACAAAGAAAGTACTATAAGTGATGTCGTCAGTCAGTTCTGGCGCGAAACTGTCCTTCTTCATGACTGGCAATACCAAAATCAGTGGTAAATGGAATTTATCACATCCTTAAGTAGGTTGAAAATGAAGGATCCCTCTGCTTATTCTCAGCAGCAGCCTTGGCATAATTTTCAATATATTTTCATCACTCAGTACTTACATAACACAAGTGACTGGTGGGGCAATGAGCAAATAAGATTTTTCATTAGAGGCCTTCCGCTTCTTCCTCACTTCTTGTTTTAGATTAGAAAAGTCAAGCCAAGTTCGCACAGTATCCAGCAGCAATTTATTTTTCAAAGGGAGCCGGTTCCGATACAGGTACGTGAACGGCCGTAAGTAGCATTTACGGATCTGTTTTTCCACTTCACTTTTGTAATAGCTTGAAAGGACAAAGCTGTATTATGTTTAACTGTGTAAGAGAAGTCTCAATGCTAGGCAATGTATATTATACTGTATTATATTATATTATATTATATTATATATAATAATAAATCTCAGGGAGATGGGGGTATTTATATACGAATACTGGGGCCAGACCATCCACACATGTGTCTGCTGTCGCTGCCTGCCCCACTCTTCCTTCCAATCGCTCCGGAGCGCCCGTTTGGCTAGCCACTCCTGGCAGAAGGTGGGAAGACAAGTCTCCCTGCAAGGATGATGAGTGGCTAGCTGACCAGGCGCTCTAGAGCAACTGAAAGGAAGAGCAGGGCTACCAGTGGCGGCAGGCACATGAGTATGCATTCTGGCTCCAGGGACCAGACCCTCTTTAACTCCAGCTGTGCAGAGGTATTCATATTTGCATACAAATACCCCCATCTCTTATAGGGACGTGGTGGCGCTGCGGGCTAAACCGCAGAAGCCTTTGTGTGCAGCAGGGTCAGAAGACCAGCAGTCGTAAGATCGAATCCTCGCGACGGAGTGAGCTCCCGTCGCTTTGTCCCAGCTCCTCGCCAACCTAGCAGTTCGAAAGCATGTAAATGCGAATAGATAAATAGGTACCATTTCGGTGGGAAGGGAAACAGCATTCCGTGTATAGCCGCGCTGGCCACGTGACAACGGAAACTGTCTTTGGACAAACGCTGGCTCTACGGCTTGGAAACGGGGATGAGCACTGCCCCCTAGAGTTGAACATGACTGACTAAATGTCAAGGGGAATCTTTACCTTTACCTTACCCCCATCTCTAAATATAATATAATAATATAATATAGCATAACATTGAGACTTCTCTTCCCCATCTCTTTTATATTGTAATGGTTAAACCGCTATACTGCAGTCAAAACTGTGCTTGCGACCTGGGGTTCAATCCTAGGTAGTGGCTCAAGGTTGACTCAGCCTTCTGTCCTTCCGAGGTGGGTAAAAGGAGGACCCAGCTCGCTGGGGGGGGGCAATGTGTAGCCTGCATAATTAACTTGTAAACCGCCCAGAGAGTGCTTCAAGCACTATGGGGCGGTATATAAGCAGCACTTTTACTTTATTGTATTAATTACAGTATACCATTCAGATTCAAGGGTCTACCTTCCCCTTTATTTTCTACTGATGTGTTCTGCTGTTTGTCAGGATATATAGGAAATATGAGGAAAGTTCTCCTCCATGCACTCCACTGCACAGTCATGAAGCAAGAGCTTTCCTGCAGAACCTCTGTGTTAGACAGGATTGATGCAGCTAAGCTCATGCGACAATGTACATTCAGGAAGGCAGATTTAGCAGTCACTTTCCCAAAAGACAGGGCATTTGTTGCATTAGAAAGAAACACAGTTGGTTCAAAGTCACTATGAATTCCTGGGAAAAGGGTATTTACTTTACTTTTACTTTACTTTATTTGGACTCATACCCTGCCCCTCTAGACAAAGTTTACTCGGGGCGGCTTACAGAAATAATAAAATATAATAAAATAGAATACAATACAGTAAGATACATAATGATAAAACCTACTAACAGATGCATATATAGATTATCAAGATGAAACAATTGAGAAATAATTGTGCCTGGTGCCTCAGGCATACTTTTTCAAAACAAACAAAAATTAATTGTCGGCTTTAGCTACATGCTGGGAGATAGAAGGCTGTTGTCCATTCTTACCGTTTTTGTTCTTAATCACTTTCAGTGGCCGAGTAGCTAAAGAAGTGATGGAGTCTAGTGCCAAGATCAAGAGGGAACCTCCAGAAATACACAGGTGAGTGTGCAGCTTTGGAGACAAAGCATAAGCTCACCTGTGAAAAAAGGAAGCTTTGTTATGGGGCTTTCGGGTTTGGATGCAGCCCACCACCTGCAAACTCCATCAGGAGACCATGTGTTGAGCACACTCCTGGGCCGCCCTTCGGGATTTGCAAATCCAAAGGCAGTCCTTGCTTTTGCCCGTTTCATGCCTGCTGTTACTGTATGTGCTTTCTTTCTGTAGGGCTGGCCTGGTACCTAGCCGTAGCTGCCCTTCCATCACTCATGGGCCACGGCTAAGCAGCGTTCCCAGAACTCGAAGGAGAGCAGTGCACATCTCTATTATGGAAGGTGAGATTTGAGCACTACAGCAGCGTCTTGTTCCTTACTTCCTCACACTGCTCTTTTCATATTCATACTCTTAGCTGCAAATTTTTTACAGCCCCTCCGAAAGAGGAAAGGTGATTTTTGGCTAGAGGCTCCTTAGCATTCATTAATTTTCTTTCATAGATTGGAATTTAATATTTAATTGAAGTTGGTTCTTTAAAAAAATGTTTTAAGTTGTGTTTTTAATTTAGGAATGGGAAAGTATATATTTAGGAGTGTCAGAATGTCATTTCAATGACAGCATCTTACTCCTTTATATACATCAGTGTCACACCACCCTCCTGTGGCTGAATAATTCCAAGTGATTTACAGAAAGTAGTGAGAAAAAGCTACTTCATTTAATTCTTTAGTCACTCTAAAATGAAATGTGAAAGGCTAGCAATACCGTGGAAAATCAGTTTGCAAAAATTATACATTACGTGTTCTGCCTTAATTGCCAAAACAGTTCAACCATAAAATGCTAACCTATGGCATTTTAGGCCCCAATCTGTTATGCTTACTTATCATTCTTTACTCTATATACCTATACTTCCCCCTAGTCTTTCAAATTCAGCCTTCTTTTTCTCCACTGAAGCTATAGCCAATTAAACCAAACCATCACAGAACACGCAGGGATTCTCTACAAAAAGATTTTGTACACCATCTGCTCCAATGCCATGCTGGATGCCGCAAATCAAAACTGATGCATCCTTGAGATTTGTTCGCTTGGTCTCTGTTGGATGCCCCCCAACTGGTGGGAGATGTTTCTTTAAATGGTCAACCAAAATCTAACTTATTATTACTTAAGACTATCAGTTTTTCTCCTGCCCTAATAGGCAGCAAAGAATGAGCCCTCTTTTATTTGTTATAGACAGCAAATAAAATATTTTATTTGTTCGCTGTAACTGTCTTCAGTCAGTTCAGGATTTTCAATGACCTGACATTTCCAGAGGTAACTAAGGTCACTAAAGCCAAACCGGACATCTTGGAGAACAGGTAAAGCTCCTTTCCAAAGGAGCTGGCTCAGTTCTCCCTCTGTGGTTGCAGGATTGAGCCCTGCTGCTCCTGGCTGCCTCACCCCCCCCCCAACATCAGCCGCCTGGCCTGAGGGAGAGAGGGCTTTTAAGTTGGGAATGCCCTCCCTACTGAGATTCGTCTGGCGCCGACACTGATGACATTTCAGCGCCAGGTCAAAACCTTCCTGTTCCAGAAGGCTTTTAATTGAAATAATATTAGCTGTGGGTCCGATGGCAATTTTTATATATATTTTAATTGTATTTTAATTGTTTTGAATTTTTATTGTATTGTAAATTTTGTAAGCTGCCCAGAGACCTTTGGGTAGTGTGGGCGGCATATAAATTAAATAAATAAATAAATAAATAACTGTGCAAACATATTCCTGGACACTGCTGAAACCTGCGCATCCAGGCTCAGGGCTGAAGCCAGGAGCATGCCCAAGTTGCAAACTTGACCTTTCAGGAAGAATGTAAAGCTACCCAGCACAGGATAAATCCCTATTCCTTGGTCTGTTCTTTTGACTGAACAGGAGGACCTGTGACTTCTCTTGAAATTATTCACCTTCATCCAATCCAGGACTGAATCACACCATTCTAGGACCAAAACAGCCTCTTTGGTGTTACATGCAAAGGAGAGAGTCAGATTTCATCAGCATACCAATGGCACTGAACCTCAAAACGCTAGACAGGAGATTTCATGAATATTTTGAATTATATATATGAGGGGGAAGAACTCAAGCCTGAGGGACACCACAGACCAACAGCCATGGTGTCAAACAAGACTGCCTCAGCACCACTTTCCTAGCACGCTCCTCCAGGAAGGATGAGAATCACATGAAACAATCCCTCCAAGGTCCCAGAAGAATGTAGTGATCAATGGCATTGAGAGCTGCTGAAATGTCCAATAGAATCAACACTCCCTATTCCAGTTCCTTGTGTTGTCTTCCCGCAATGTGAAGATGACCAAAGGTGCCTCTGTCCCGTACTCACAAGCCAGGAAGGGCAAGAGAGCCAGGATCCTCCCCAAGGATCTTGTTCACACCTTCAGGCCACATAAATTGAAACATTTCCATTATCAGGGGACAAGAAGGGGTTAGTTACACCATCCAGTACAAATGCAGTAGTTGATATAGTTTTCTTCCTTCTTATGCAACATCCCAGCAGCACCTTCTCCACTCTGCCAAGTGTGCACAAGCTGTACCCTCCCTCCATATTCACACAGTACCTCTGTCTTTCAAGATGTTGTCCCTTTTTCTTCGTGTCTCTTTGTTATTTGCTTCTGTAACTCAACAATCCATCAAAATCAGCAAGAACTCCATGATCAGACATGTTCTCATAATGGCTCTTCATTTGCTTCCCATTTAAAATGTGAATTGGAAAACTTCTAACTTCAGGGACACATCACATATTTTCAGCAACTCAGTAAAATGGAAAAGCTCTGCCATATACTTTTTTTTTTTTTGGTAAAGAATCCTCCAGAGAATTTATGTCATGGCATAGAAAAGAAGACTGAATGTTGTTTGGTGTTGGTTCCCAAAATACAGTTTTAATTCTTCCATCCCAGTCTTTTCATGCCCAGATGGTGTTAAATTTGGCTGACACCCCTTCACTAAGCATGCTTCATGCTCAATTTATATTGAGATAATGAACTGTCTTGCTTTTGTGACAAACGTAACTTTCAAACATTGAAAAACTGTCTTGCATGGTACCGCAAGCAAAACAGCTAGCCTATGCAATTACTTCTAGTGTGTTTATGTTTCTGCAGGCCTTGAATCTCTGCGCGACAGTGCCCACTCTACCCCAGTGCGGTCCTCCTCCCACGGCGATGCCTTCATGCCACATTCGCGGGCCAGCAGAGCCGAGAGCAGTGAGCGTGTGGCCATCATTTCAGACGAGATCTACAGTCCTTCAGACAGTGTGCTTCCGACACCTGTAGCGGAACACAGCCTCGAGCTGATGCTGCTCTCCAGGCAGGTCAACGGAGCCCCTTGCAGTATAGAAGAAGAAAAGGAGTCTGAAGCCAACACACCTACGCTGGCCGAGGCCGAGGAACTGGGAGGGGAGCTCCGAGCCTTGTGTCAGGGTTTGGGCAGCACTGGTGGAGCACAAGCAGAACAGGTGAATAAGTTTGTTTTAAGTGTCCTCCGTTTGCTCCTTGTGACCGTTGGGCTCCTCTTTGTTTTGCTTCTTCTCCTGATCATCCTTACTGAGTCTGACCTTGACATTGCCTTTTTCCGTGATATTCGCCAAACCCCTGAGTTTGAACAATTCCATTATCAATACTTTTGTCCCCTCAGGCGATGGTTTGCCTGCAAAATCCGCTCCGTGCTGAGCCTGCTCATTGACACCTGAAGGCAGGACTTCTCCTAGTAACTAGCCAGGTGGATTGCAGAAGATCCCTGCTACCCCTTCCCAGAAAACGGGACACATCGTGGCACCATCGGCATATAAAATAAACCCTCCTTTCATGAATCCAAGTACACTGCAGCCTAGGAGAGTTGTTTCCAAGCAGAAGAAAGAGATAGACTCATGCTAGATTCAATATACAGTATATATATACATATATATATGCGTTTCTTTACAGGTCCTCCTCCTGGACGTTTCCTCAACAGGTCTGATTTCCAACTTTTAAATTGTTCTGCACTCTTCAAATTTCATTTTAGATTTCGTAAGAGGTGTTCACGTCAAAAACGTCAAGGAAGTTTATTTTATGACTACAATGATTGCATTAAATGCGTCTCCAGCTGGGACACTAGTTAAGATAGCTAATTACTTTATGCTGGAGCTTTTGTAATGGTGCTAATGAGTTGTCATTTTAATATTCTATATTATTATTTTATGAAAACTGCCACTGTGCACAGCACTACCACCTTAAAAACGGTCATTTGAAAATATGGTAAGTTTCTGTCTTACGGATTGAATTCTTGGCTTAACACAGAGCCCTAGAGTAATGAGAGTGTGATAGGGATTAAGATTTTGACACCATCACCCCCCGCATTTTCAGTGCTTCTCAAGCAACAGGTAGGCACGAGAGAGGGAGGTAGTGTCAAGGTCTATTTTCTCCTTCACATGGAAAGTCGCCGTAGTGCAAGACCTTCCTTTTCGGGTTTTTGTTTTGTTGACAGACCCTTTCAAATCCCAGAGAAGAGAACTTTTCATAGAACAGCCAAGTCCCCAGATAAAACATGGGTTAGCAAACAGGGGGGAAAAACATACATTCAATCAAATCTGGCCCACTCTTGCTCTTGTACTGGTGATCCTATCTGGATTTGCTCTGGAAAGCTGTACTTGTTTTTGTACTATGAAATAACTTGTTTCAAGCTATATTTTAAGGGGGAAATTATATTTTATTAATGAGGAAATAAAAGTCTTTTTCACTTTATGAATTGGGTACATGTAGTCGCAAACAAAAGATAGTGAATATGGTTTTTTTAGTGGTATTTGGGCATCATCTTAACCCATTCATAATTTCTGGAGGAAAAACTTGTGCTATTTTAAAAAATAAAGAGAAATAACATTACAGCAGTGGAGGAAACACAGAAATAAAAAACAAGTAGAATAACCCAACCAATGCTATCTCCAAACTGAAGGGAAGTCGGGGGGGGAGCCCCATTTTGTCTTGTGTTGTGGGTAATGGTCATGTGACGTTAAGAGTCTGCACAACAGTCACCTATATTTATTTGTACAGGGAGCAATAAAAAGCGTGAGTTCAGTTCCAGGTGAGCAGGACACGAGAATGCGGTCAGACTGGCAAGTGTTTTATTTCATCTCAGGGAGAGATTTCAAGTCATCTGGGAATCTGATCAGAAATATTTCAAGAGGCTGGTTTCATTATCATGTCTCCAACCATGCCACTGCAATCTTAAGCATGCACACATACCCTTCAAGTTCACGCAGAAATAAAGCACTGCCAGAACTTGTGTGAAGGAGGGTGTGTGGGTGTGTGATCTCAAGCACTGATTCAGTTACATTCTGCTCACAGCTGATCACTCATCATTTGGGAAAAGAGCACAATTATCAATACTAGCAATACAGTTACGTATTGGCAAACGGCTACTAGACTCGGACTGGTGTGTGCCTCGTTCGTTAGGAAAGATTCTGTGATATCTGAACCCATCATGGAAGTGTTACAGGCATATCACCTGAATTGCATTGACTGCAACTGCCAGGACAGTAAACCATCAGAGCCAAAAGAGATTTTGGCTTTAATTTATAAGTACATTTAAGCTTCTGAATGCCTGCCAGAAGATTAAGGGATAGATTTTATAAGGACATACACTGTTTTATGCAACATAGCAACAAAGTTAACTTCTAGTGTAGTGTTCCTACCTCAGTCTGTAGTAAACGATGCTTCTATGCAGTGAGTGAAAAGTCTTACTTTAATATTTCCCATCCCAGATAAGGATGCAGTATTCCTTGTTTTAAGTGTTGGTGTTGTTCATTGTGCCTCAAATCTGTCCAAGTATATTTGTAACCATTTTGTATGATGAACATCTCATTTTTAAAATGAGCAACACAAGCATATGGCCGGTGGCAAATCGGTTTTAGAGAGCTGTTTACTTTGCAAAAGTTTGGGTACCATCTAGATTGGGTATAATTGAGAAGGAAGTTCTCCTGCGTAGTCATTTTCATAGGACTTACAGAGAAGAACATTCTAGTGAATCGTGCCCTATTTTTGCCAAATATTTTACCCTCAGAACTGTCCAGCCAGCAACTAAAAAGTACGTTTTCCCGTTTTGCCCTACATTATATTTCATATATCATTTCTAAGTTGTTCCAGGTCTTATCTGTATAAACTGTGGTGATTTCCATAGGTTGCTTTATCAGAGGAAACAAACTCTTAACAAGGATTAGTGTACTGCATCGTTAAGCAGTAGAAGGTAAATTACCTACAAATGTGAATTTTAGTTTTCATAATATAGGTGTTAACATTTCATGTGCCAAATGCTGTACTTTAACTTTTTCCCTTCAGAATAATGTACCTTTTTCTACATATCCAACCTGTAGTTAGTGTAAAATCATTGGTGCCATAATAAAGTATTTTTAAATTTAAATAAATATTTAATTATGATGAAAAATATTCTTTGTTGAGTAAGTTAATGGGGGGAGGGTTTTATGATGTAAAATGACAACTTTGTTTTTAAATGCCTAAAAGCAGGCTTTTACAGTGCAAATTTCATTTCAGAAACCGAAGCATAGCTGATTAAAAACTTATTTCATTGCCAAGTCATCAGAGTCCTGTCTGATATTTTGTTACACCATTACACAAGGCTGCACAACTGTAAACCATTTATTGTGTGCATTTTAAAGGTTCATACAGACCATGGTGTGCACACCAAACACTAATTTGCAATCGCCAATTTCACAATCTAAGATATTATTTGGGGTCCCAACAGACATCACTGCATTTGAATTTTTATATTTTTTATTAAGAAACTGGTTGTTAGAAAGAAGCCATTTACTCTTGAAATACTAAAACTATCATTTCAAAATACTATTTATAATTAACATCTGCATTAAACATTACTTGGTGATCCTTGTATGAAAGACTGAAACCATTTGATAATGCCTGTTGCTCATAAATATGCAGAAATTTCCTGGGCACATCCTGCCATTATATGAAGCCAGCAAATCTTAAAATTCTGGCTTACTTTGGGTGAGGAAGTGCTCCAGCAGCTCTTGCAAAGCTCCATCAACAGTGTGAAGCTGGAAATCTTGTTTCTTTTGTTCCTAGAAAGCCAGTTGTTGTTTAGAAACCACTCAGAATTCCAAGGTCAAAGGAGGTATGTGGGTTGTTCAGCTGCTTCTCTTTGCAGTAGCACAGATCAGACACGATGTAGTAGCATGACAGTTATAAATGATAAGCCAGGGTTCCACTAGCATACTGGCTTATCCTTATGAGCAAACAAGGTTTCTGCAATTGCAACACTAAGCCTTAATTATTCCTCTTACTGGAAACCTACAACACTTCAAGGTATGTAATCAAATATATTAATTTTGAACTGTCCTAAGATATAAACTTAAAACTAAAATTTCTAAGATAGACAAAATGTCTTCTTAAACCAGTAAAAACCAATAGGGTTTTTTTCCTTTTGTTTTTTTACTCACTGAAAACATGGAGGCGCCCACTGGAATTACCACCCACAACAATGTACCTGGTGGGGTGCCAGGCATTGATAGAACAAACAGAGCCAAGATGATCTTCACTCAAGAAGGAATGCACCAATTCTCCATTGGCATGAAAGGCGTTGATCTGTCTTGGTCGCAACATACTCCCCACCACAAAGCAGTCGTCCCTTCTGGGGTCCCATACAGCTCTGAACCTTGTTAGCCACCGTCCTGTATTGTTGTTATGCCTATTCAGCAAAGGAAAACAGAAGTGGGATTTCTGTACAGAACAAGAGGATCTTAACTTCTACTCATACACAGACTCTAAACGAACATGATTCAGCCTCAATCAATATTGTGTTCTGTTCACTGCAGATTGATTTCTTCATCTGGGAGTCTCTCCTATCACTTATAAATCTTAGCAACACGTTGTAAGCTTTCTTATTTTTTACTCACTTGATAGTTGTGAGAAGAGGGGCTAAAGATGTTAAACATTTCGTTCCAAAGATCCTGTAAGAGAAATAAAACGAGTAAAGAACAAAGAATCATCCAAACTACAATGGTAACCTACTCTTATTCAATTCAAATCCAGGTGGTTATGAAAATGCAATCAAGATTTCATGTTGTAAGACATTAATTACTGCTTATGATGCAATATAGACTCATGTCCTGATAACTGCTAAGATATATGGTTTTTAAAAAGGACTAAATGAGAAATAGGCGTGTTGCCAGCTACATCAACGAACAGGAAAGATGCAACTCGCGTGTCATTATGTGCTGCAACGTTGCTTCTGACATACAGCAACCCTATGAATTTATCTTTTTGGATTTTCATTCCCAGAATTCCCCAGGCAGAATTCTGGGAGTTCCAGTCCATTGACCCAGACCTGCAAACACCGAACATTGATCCTTCTACTTGTAAATTGTGCCTGAATACACCTCTAAAGACATTCTGGCTCAAGGCCAATTTATTGTCCTATGGCAGCAAATTATGCAGGTTAATAATACGTTGTGACAAAGGTGGAAAACGATACACTCTCACATACCTCAGTTGATCATCAGCACAAGTTGTCACCACCCTGTTTCCAGTAACAGGAGAGAAATAAGCTGAAGCCACACTCTTTGTGTGTCCCGCAAGAGAAACGACGGGCTTGTTTCCACTCTCCTTCAGGCGCCGAACATCATAAATATTAACATTCCTGAAATGTAGATTGGTGCGCAGGGCTTAATATAAGGATTCCTTTTTTTCAGTAAGAACAGAGATATTCTAGAGTCTTTCATCAAAATCTAAAAGACTTTCTGTCTCCTCTATGGGAGTCAAGGGACAAGGGAATCAGAAGGGGCCTAATAAGGTCATCGAGTCAAACTCCATCTCAATGCAGGAACCCAAATTAAATTATATACGATAGATTATTGTCTACTGGAATACATCAAGGACACCAATGAAGGACGGATTTTTGGGGAAAAAATCCTGGAAATTGCAGAGATGGACACTTTAACAGACACACTAAAAGCTAGGATATATGACACAGATAAGAAGAAATGGGAGCCATCTACATCTGGATTGAAGAGAACAATTAGATAAAGCAAATATTGACCTGCGAGAAATATTAACGATGTACAGATACGAAATTCCTAACACACCCTGCAATTTTCAACTTTCCTCAAAAAATCCTTCCCTTTCTAATATCTCTAAAGTATCTATGGTAGATTATTGTCTAACTTTCTCTTGAATGCCCCCAACACTGGAGTATTTGCCACCTCTCAAGTTAACTGGTTCTATAGTCATTCTGCTCTTAATAGTCAGGAAATTTTTCATGACATTCAACCAAAATCTGGCTTCCTCTACCTCAGACACATTATTACATGTAATGCACTCTGGGGTGACTGAGAACAGATGAACTCGTTTTTCTGCATGATATTCTTTCAATTATTTGGCAACTGTTAATCATATCTCCCCTCGGTTTTCTATTCTCAAGGCTAAAAACATGCCCAAATCTTTCCATACAGGGCTTGGTTTCCAACTGCCCTGCTCTGAATTTGTTCCAGTTTGTTGACATCTTTTCTAAAGTGCAACGTCCGGAACCAAATATAGTACTCAAAATGAGACCAAATAGAAACAGTGCCAAATAGAGGGGAACTCGTACTTCACGAAATTTGGGGACTTTACTCCTGTTAATGCATTCTAAAATCGCAGTTACCTTTTTTTTTCAGCCACATCACATTGCTGGCTCATATTTAGCTTGTGATCTACAATTTCAAGATCTCTCTCCCTCATAGTATTACTGTTCCACATATTCTTTATATTGCATATATGTCTGTCCCACCCCCACCCCGGTATAGAACTCTGCACTTATTCCTGTTAAATTTCATTCTCTTCCTTTCAGCCCCCAGTGCTCAAGCTGCTCAATACATTTTTATTTATTTATTGGATTTCTATCCCACCCACCTAGACCAAAGGTCTACTCTGGGCAGTTTACAAATTCAAAATTTTTGAATGTTGCTTCTGTCTTCCAGGGTATGAGCTATTCCACCCAATTTTATGTTATCCACATTTTTGAGAAGCATCCCCCGCACCTCCTCATAAAAGTCATTAATACAAATATTGAGAAGCACCAGGCCCAGGCTGAGCCTTGTGGTACCCCTCCTTTTATCTCCTCACAGTTTGAGAACGAGCCATTGACAAGAACTCTCCGAGTATGATCCTGTAACCGACTGTGTATCCACCTGACAGTTCTTCTGTGAAGTCCACAACTACTTAGCTTGCTAATGAGACTATCAGAGGACTTTTTGTTAAAGACTTTGCTGGAGTTAAGATATATTTCATCCACAGCATTCCTATCATCTATCAGAAAGGTTACCCTGGTAGAATTAGATGAGATTATTCTGGCAGGATTTGTTCTGACAAATCAGTATTATAACTTCAAGACAACAGACAGTGGTTATGAGCGTTCTTCATGTAGTTCCTTTAATACTCTTGGATGCAATTCATCTGGCCCTGGAGATTTTAACTTTATCAAAGTAAGAAGGCGTTCCTTGACTATTTGTTTATCAATCCCAAACTGCAATCCTGCCTCCTCCACTTGTTCTTCACAACTGCCTGGAAGGCACAGATTTTCTTTTGTGAAAAAGAAAAAGCTAAAGTAGGAATTCAGCATTTCTGCTTTTTCATTGTCATCACTACAAAAGGCATCACTGGTGAAGTGATAACAGGTGATACAGTGGTGCCTCGCTTAACAATTACCTCGTTAAACGATGAATCCGCTTTACGATAAGTTTTTGCGATCACTATTGCGATTGCAAAACGATGTTCCTATGGGGAAAATTCGCTTCACGACGATCGGTCCCCTGCTTTGGGAACCGATTCTTCACATTACAATGATTTCCAAACAGCTGATTGGCGGGTCACAAAATGGCCACCCGCCGTGCAAAATGGCTCCCCGCTGTTTTTAGGACGGATTCCTCGCTTATCAGGTACCAGAAAATGGCCGCACCATGGAGGATCTTCGCTGCACGATGAGGTATTTCGCCCATTGGAAAGCATTGAACGATTTTCAATGTGTTTCAATGGTTTTTTTATTTTCGCTTGATGACGATTTCGCTTAAAAGCGATTTGAACTGAACGGATTATCGTTGTCAAGCGAGGCACCACTGTACCTATTTTCCTCTGGGTTCCTCCCAGAGACAGGTGCGAATTTATTGCACTGAAATATGCTACAGATTAAGCTACAACATTTGCTTCAGCAAGCTGCAATGTCTTTTAAAAATGCAAGTATTTGACTTGTTTTGCATTTCTGAATGAACATTTTTTTTCAGTGATAAATTACCATGTTAGCCAGGAGAGGAAGGCTGGCACAAAAGACAGCCTGTTGTCAAGACAACAAGAGTGGCTACTATTGAATTGAGCAATGAACAAAAAAAAAACAGCGAGGGAAGTGAACAAAGAAGCAACCCCTTGTAGTTTTGAGCAGGTCCTGTGTGAAAACAGGAAGTAGTGAAAAGTTGCCAAGATAACATGCACAGTTTTTGGAAGAACATGAGAAAGATCTAATTATTGTCTTGATATGCATGAAGATTATCATTGATTCTACTGAAGATGCTGTACATAGTGTGTATGCGTGTGTGAGAGAAACAGACTTCAGGAGAGGATAATGTAAGAAAGTTAAATGGAAAACAAGAAAATATTTAACCTCCTCTCATTAAAAAAGTACTTAGTTTTGCATTTTTTAGCAAGTGGGAAAAATCAGTAAATTAGAACATTGGGAGCATAATGAAGATGCATGGAATTCTTGAGAAAAAGGAAGGCACAGTAAAATAACTAAATGAAAAATAATGGTAAATACAGTAACAAAGAAGAAACAGAATGATTTGAACGAAAAAAAAGTGGACAAGAATCTGAAAGGATTTGAACATGGTTGCGTTTTGGAATGTGTCCTCTTTTTTGGAATGCAGCCCAGCTGGTCACCCAACACAGTTCTGGCCCTGAAAACATTGTGCACCTGTGAACTTCGGAAAACCACCGTGAAATGCTTTCAGAGTTAGGCATTACAATGTCAGCAGTATGCAGATGATTCTGCTTCTTCTTCTCTTTTCCATCTACAGTCAACCCTCAATTTACAAACTTAATCTGTTCCAGAAGGAAGTTTGTAAGTCGAAAAGTGCGTAAGTCGAATCAGCATTTCCCACAGGAATGCACTGAAAACCAAGTAATCCGTTCCAGCTGTTTTTGGTTCTTAGGTTGAGGGGCGGTTTGTAAGTCGAAGCGTTAGTTCCCATAGGAACTAATGCAAAGCCGGTTAATCCGTTCCTACCACTAGGGGCAGATTTTTTTTTCTTTTTTTCCTTTTAACCTAAGATGACTTAGTTTTTTAAAAAAGGAAAGAAAAGAGGGAGGGAAGGAGGGAACAGACACCTTTTCAACAGAACACCTTGAAAAGCACCTTTACAGCCAAGACAAGCACCTTCTGGGAAAAACCAAGCACCTTTCAGACAACAGATCACCTTGAAAAGCACATTTTCAGTCAAAACAAATCAATACAAGCACCTTTTGGGGAGAAAGGGGGCAGCAAAGGAGGGAGGAAACACTTTTTAAAAATTGAAAAATCAAAATTTTTTAAAAAGCCAAAAAATGTAAATACAGTCCATACAGCACTGTACCAGGCAATACCAGGCAGTCTGACGACTGTCTCCAAATCCACTCTCAAAACACTGGGAAGAGCGAGGAAGCAGACAGGCACCCTCTTCACTGGCCAACGCTTAACTGAAAGTTCAAATTTTGCGCTTTCCTCACCTCCCGCGTGGTTTTTTCAGTTCGTAACTCGAATCTAAGTTTGCAAGTTGAGCCAATATTTTTCTATCAGAGCGGTTTGCAAGTCAAAATGTTTGTAACTAGGGCCATTTTTAAGTCAAGAGTTGACCATACATGTCCTAGTGAGGCTGCAGAACTCTTTAACAGAGGTCTTGAAGTGGCTACAGATGAGAGCCAACCATTTAACTTCAGCATGACTAAATGGAATGCTGTGGGCGGGTTAAGTCATTTGATCTGGAGGGTGGGGCACTTCTAGTATTGATAGGATTGTACTCCCTTAAATAATCAAGTTCAGGGTTTCCTCCCCTAAATAAACAGACAAATGTCTTACTAGATAAATGCCTTATCTAACGTTGCAGTCAAATTACCAGAAATCATCAACACAAGAAGTTCATGCTATTTTTAAGAAAGCATTTGCAAAGTAAAAACCTAGAAACTTACTCAATATTTTTGGATTGCTGTAATTATGTGGTAGAATTTTTTTAAAAAGACATAAGAAATTTGAATTGAGATTTGAGTCAATGGGTAGGAGCATTAGCTTGCATTGAACACCACCAGATTTTCAGAGTCCTTTGTTCCTAAAGTTTAGAGAATGTCTTGCCGTGTTGGACTCTGATCGCTCTTAACAGGAGGCCTTTGTTCACATTGTTACTGCTGCACCTCCCGTTCATTATGCACAGCTCGAATCACTTTTGTCACAAAAATGCACCTACCTTGCCCCAGCAGTAATGAAATAATATCTGCTGACTGGATGAACATGGACAGTCCTCGTCACAGAATTAAGATCTGCAGAAATCTCAGCTGAATTTTCAGGTGTTCTTTTGTCCACTACGGCTATCCTTCCATCCCACATTCCCACTACCAAAGTGGAGGCATCAACTGCCAGGAAATCAAACGAGGAAAGACTGTAATCCTCATTTCTGTACACCTGAAAATGAGACAGAGCTGCAGTTTAGCTAACTACACCATATACAGTATACTATATATATATATATATAGCTTACTACATGCTATGTCAAAATTCATTTGAAAGTAATGCCAATATGGTGATATGCTTTGTCCACTTCGGTATGTATAACATACAAGGATTCAAAGGCATCCTTTTTCTGGCTGAGAAGCTTAAACTGAAGTGTGGGTCAAGATGCACCCTTCTACTAGGTCAGATTGTTTGTCCCCCCTGGCTCAGTCCTGTGCACTCTGGCCAACTATTACTGTCTCTGAGGTCTCAGGAAGGAATCTTTCTATCAACAGCAACCTGATTATTATTTATTTTCAGCTGGCGATGGGGCTATAGCATTATGTTATGATCCCTGCCAAGAGAGATGGGGACATTGAATGAAGAGTGGAAAGAAGAGTTTCTTGTTTTCCATCTCTCTGCCATCTAGAATAGTAACTTAAATAAGACAGAAGGATGACAGAAGAATCCACACCAAATTCTACTTTGCATGACAGGTCCACACCATTCTCCATACTCCAACAAATGGAATTCTGAACGCTAGAATTTGTAAAGTTTTTGTAAACAGTTATGTTGCATCTAAATAGACTCTTACCTAAAAAAACCACATAAGGTTTCCCATTTATCAGAGCCTGCAAATCTCTACAATGTATGTATCAATATTCACCTCATCAAAGACAGCTCTGGTTACATCTCCACATCGAAGTGTGCCGTCATGGCTCAGGGACAAAAGATGAGCAGGATTAAATGGAGAAAAATACATACAGTTAACAGATTGACAGTGGATCACAAAGGAATGAACAGGCTCTTCCAGTCTGCTGTCCTAAAAAGTAAAACATAACACCATCAATTTATTACTCCTTCTCTTTTAAAAGTCGGGAGTAAAACTATACCATTGTTGCCATCAACCTCAAAGAGCAAAATTTACAGTGAAGTTCAGCTGGTAAAAAAGAAGGAAATGAAGAGATAAAGTACAGTGGTGCCTTGCTTGACGAGGATAATCTGTTCCAGCAAAAATGCTGTTAAGCAATATCCTCGTCAAGCGAAATAAAAAATCCTTGAAATGCATTGAAAACCCCTTCAATGTGTTCCAATGGGCTGAATAACGGCGGCCATTTTCTGCTCCCTATCTTGCCAAAAAGCCTTCCTAAACGCAGCGGGAGCCATTTTGTATACCCGGCGGCCATTTTGAAACCCGATGATCAGCTGTTTTTGATCGTCGTAATGCGAAGAATCGGTTCCTGAAGCAGGGAACTGATCATTGCAAAGCGAAAAAACCCCATTCAAACATTGTTTTGTGATCACAAAAACTTCGTCATTAAGCAGATTCATCATCAAGCGGGGTAAGCATTAAGCGGGGCACCACTGTAAGTCAAAGGTAGGAACAGAACATTTTATGTCTATTTACAGAGGAGACCGAACCCAGTTTCAAAATACTGCAACTTCCCCATGTGGGTCAACAAGAATGGATGGTAGTGGAGAAAAATCAGTCAACTTTATTTATATCTGGCTATTCTGTTGGAAGTGGCTTGCAATAAAAGCATTATAATCCTCCCCACAAAACAGTGCATCCATTATTAATAATAAAGTACCCTGTTTCCCCAAAAATAAGACCTAACCTGAAAATAAACCCTAATATGATTTTTCAGGATGCTTGTAATATAAGCCCTATCCCCAAAATAAGTGAAAGCCCGCCCTCCACCATTGTGCAGCAACCAGAAGAAGATGACATGACTGTATTTGAATAAATGTAGGTCTTCTGCCCTCTTGTAGCAGGCCTCCTAGGGTTCTAACGCCTTAACTGAAGACACACACCATCCGTAAATCTTCTGCTACAACACCTTCTTTCAAGAGGAGTGATGCCCCTTTCCTGCTATGGCCGGTACAAATTACACCCAACAATGGGTTCTTATTTATGTTCTGCCTCAACCACTAGATGTGCCAGGTTAGATGATGAGTTAGTTCAGATTCGGAGTGCTGACTCCCAACAGGAGAGAGTGGTAGTGGTAGATAAGACCAAGCTGTGTTCCTCAAAGGAGAGAGTGGTAGTGGTAGATAAGCTTGAGGTGGTAGATAAGACCAAGCTGTGTTCCTCCTCTCCTTCTGACATCAAACCTAAACAGATGAGATGGTCCTTTGGAGGTGGAGGTTCTGAGCTGGAGGACGAACACCAATGGAGAAAAGCTGCTGCTTCTGGACAGAGGCTTTTAAATTTGGTTTTTTAGTTTCTCAGATGGAGGCATTTTATGTTTATTCAAAGTTGAAGAAACAGACTTAGACTGAGGAGTGGCCGAGTTTGGGATCAAAGCAGAGATTGTGTCTCTGAGCTATGGAGCGCTGTGGTGCTAAAAGTTGTGATACCAAGTCGTGTTGCGTAAGAGAAGGTCGGACCACTTCCGTAATTTTTGACTATGACAGAGGTTTGCAGATGGAAACTAGCAAAATAGGGGTGGTTTCTGAAGTCAAGTCCACAGCTTGTAGGGACTTCTCCCAGAGGAAGAGTTTGAGTTGGGATTGTCTGTTCTTAAGGGCAAAGTTCTTACAAACTGAGCAAGATCAGGTTTGGTACTCTTCTCCTAAACAACGGAGACGCTTGGAGTGTCCATCTGGAAGTGGTATCTTATTCTTATGTGAAGGACACTTTTTGAAGAAGGGCTGAAGAGGCCAAAAAAGGGGTGGGAAACATGCAAACAAAGAAATTTTCTATCTACCATACGGATTGTTTTAAAAGGAGAAAAGAACAGGAAACAGGAAAACAGAGAGGGGGGAAAAAGGTTTTGACCAATACAAAAACAACCGCTCGAGAGCATCGCCAAAGAGGAGCTGGTGAGTAACCCCTGGGGTGGAACGTATGTTGTTGTGATGGGGCAAGAGTAGTGATCTTTTTCAGGCTATGGAAGATTCTGAGAGGCAACCACCATTGGTGTAAATCACAAAAACCACAAATTTAGTATGTTTTTCCTGATGTCCTCAGGGTTTAAGCAGGGTCACAGGCCTGCCTACTGACTGAACCACTTAGGGCAGAGAAAAACGGAACATTTGAAAAAGTAAACAAAACAATTACAGTCATGCCCTGCTTAACGATTACCCCATATAATGACGAATCCGCTTCACAACGATGTTTTTGTGATCACAACTGCGATCACAAAATGATGTTTTAATGGAGTTTTTTCGCTTTGTGATGATCTGTTCCCTGCTCCAGTAATGGATTCTTCGCATTAGGACAATCAAAACAGCTGATCGTCTGGTTTTCAAAATGGCCGCTGGCCACTCAAAATGGCTCCCCGCTGTTTTTAGGAGCCATTTTTCGCTTAACAGGCACCCGAAAATGGCCACCGTATGGAGGATCTTCACTGGACGATTAGGTATTTCACCCTTTGGAACACATTAACCAGTTTTTAATGCGTTTCAATGGGCTTTTTTATTTCGTTTGACAACGTTTTCGCTCTACAGTGATTTCGCTGGAACGAATTAACGTCGTCAAGCAAGGCACCACTGTACAACCAGTAGCTCTCTCTAATCTTCTGAAAGACAATTATCGCACTAAATACTGTTTCCTGTTTTTCCACATCAATGGCTTCTATGATTAGCTTGCCTAAAAGATCGGCCATTTATTTATTTATTTTTATTGGACTTATATTGGACTTATATACCGCCCCATAGCGCTACAAGCACTCTCCGGGTGGTTTACAATTTAATTATACAGGCTACACATTGCCCCCCCAGCAAGCTGGGTACTCATTTTACCGACCTCGGAAGGATGGAAGGCTGAGTCAACCTTGATGTTTTCTGTTTTTCCACATCAATGGCCTCTATGATCAGATTGCCTAAAAGATCTGCCATTTACAGACCTTATCTAAAAAACATTACTATAAAAGCCACAGAACAGGAACTGCTTACCAAATTCCAGAGACCGATTTGCCCCCATTTGTCTCCTGCTGCTACCAGGGTTCTGCTTTCAGATGGATGGACAGCCACAGAATAAATTCGAGTTTTGACTACTTTTGCTACACAATCTTCTCTGAGGACCATTCCACGCAGTCTAGCCTTGTAACTAGGCCAAAACAGTTCTCATATTAGTGTCAAAAATTGAAGCCAATTTAAAGATGCCAAGAAAAAAATAGTTTCTAATTACCTTTCTAAATTACATATAGTTTTCTCAGTCTTCTGGGGTTCTACCTGTATCATAGGTTAGAAGACAAAAATGCATTACTGTGCAGGCAGTGAATTAAATCAGCCTGCTCAAGATCAAAACAACTCTTTTTAATACCTTACTGATTTTCACCCACATATCCAGGAATCCTTCAATGTCCTCAGTTCTTTCTTCTTGATCTGTAGGTATCATCTGAAGAGGTCCAGGTGGCAAACGGGGCTTTCATGAGAAAGAACAGCAAAATTAGTGGGTTTGATTTGCATCTTGACGATCACTATATTCTGCAGAATAGTAACAAACAGAACTATTTAATTTTTTTTGCTCCCCCATCCTTTCACTTTGTGCAGCCAAATGTCTTATTCAAGACCAGGTTCTTAGGACTCTCTTGGACTATCCAAATTATCAGTCAGGAGCGCACGGAAGCCTAAGGATGTTCAGAGAGAAGGCAGAAGAGAGGAGAAAACCTATTTACCCAAATACTTAAGAATTTACCTGAATATCTAAGAACACCTAAGCTTGAGAATTTCAAAATGAAGAATACAGACAAGAGGGCCTTAAGCTGCAGTTCTCCCCTTTTATGCTTGTTATCTTACATGTTCTTCAGCTGGAAGTTCTGTATGTCCTGGTGTTTCTGGCAAGGGAGCACCTGTGGGATCTATTCTTTGCAAACGCAAGGACCTTCGACAAGCTTCTTTCTTCGAAGGCTTAACTCTGGAGGAAAAAACACACCATATTTTTAATTCTCTAAAACCCCACAAAGGTTTAGTTTTCCTCACAGACAGATTCACAGAATAATAGAGTTGGAAGGGGCCATTGAGTCCAACCACCTGCTCATCTACTCAAATGGAGCGTCGGGAGAGTGAGAACACACAAAAGAAAATATTTCTTTACCCAGCATATGGTTAGTCTGTGGTGCCAGGATGTAGTGATGCCATTTCACCTAGATGCCTTTAAAAGGGGATTGGAGAGATTTCTGGAGGAAAAGTCCATCACAGGTTACAAGCCGTGATGGGGATGTATAACCTCCAGGCTTAAAAGGAAGGTGCCTCAAAATGCCAGATGCAGGGGAGGGGTATCAGGAGACAGTTATATCTCATTGTCTCGTGGGCTCCCAGAGGCCTCTGGTGAGGCCACTGCAGGGAATGCTGATCGAATTTGCAGATATCACAAAGTTGGGTGGAATTGCTAATGCCTTGGAAGACAGAAATAAAATTCAAAATGATTTAGATAGACGTGAGTATTGGGATGAAAACAATATAATGGAATTCAGCAGGGAGAAGTGCAAAGTACCTTGGAAAAAGGAACCAAACACACAGTTGCAAGATGGTGAATGCCTGGCTCAGCAATAGGACGAGCGAGAAAGGTCTTAGAATTGTCGTAGATCACAAGCTAAATATGAGCCAACAGTGTGATGTGGCAACAAAAAGAAGGCAAATGCTATTTTGGGCTGCATTAACAAATATATAGTTTCCAAATCCCATGAGGTCCTTGTTTCCCTCTATTCAGCACTGCTTAAGCCTCATCTAGAGCAGTGGTTCTTAACCTTTGTTACTCGGATGCTTTTGAACTGCAACTCCCAGAAACCCCAGTCAGGACAGCTGGTGGTGAAGGCTTCTGGGAGTTGCAGTCCAAAACTCCTGAGTAACCCAAGGTTAAGAACCAGTGATCTAGAGTACTGTGTCTAGTTCTGGACACCAAGCTTTAAGAGGGATGCCAACAAACTTGAGTAAGTTCAGAGGATGGCAACAAGGATGATCAGGGGACTGAAGGCCAAGCCCTGTGAGGAAAGACTGAAAAAATGGGCATGTTTAGTCTTACGAAAAGTCTGAGGGGAGGTATAATAGCAGTCTTCAAATATTTGAAAGATTGGTGTATAGAAAAGTGGCTGGATCTGTTCTCAATCATCCCAAAGTGCAACAAACTTGAGTAAGTTCAGAGGATGGCAACAAGGATGATCAGGGGACTGAAGGCCAAGCCCTGTGAGGAAAGACTGAAAAAATGGGCATGTTTAGTCTTACGAAAAGTCTGAGGGGAGGTATAATAGCAGTCTTCAAATATTTGAAAGATTGGTGTATAGAAAAGTGGCTGGATCTGTTCTCAATCATCCCAAAGTGCAGGACATGTAACACGAAAAGTCTGAGGGGAGGTATAACAGCAGTCTTCAAATATTTGAAAGACTGGTGTATAGAAAAGTGGCTTAATCTGTTCTCAATCATCCCAAAGTGCAGGATATGTAATGGGCTCAGTCACGGGAAGCCAGATTTTGGCTGAATGTCAGAAAAAACTCTTAACTGTTAATGGGCTCAGTCACAGGAAGCCAGATTTCGGCTGAATGTCAGAAAAAACTCTTAACTGTTAGAGCAGTGCGGCAATGGAACCAATTACTTCAAGAGGTGGTGAGTATTCCAACTCTGGAGACATTCAACAGAAAATTAGCCAGCCAACTGTCAGATCTGCTTTGATTTGGATTCATGAATTGAGCAGGGGGTTGGACATGATAGCCTTATACTGTAGATGTTTCAACTCAGATGTTATTCTATGAACTATCCAACCAGCCAATAATTACTGTAATTAAGCAGATTCAAACACATCCCAATGACTGCTAAAGCATCACTGTTAAAATTATGACTAGGTTGAATATCTCTAGCATTTCTTCCTCTACCTGTAGCATACACATTTGATTGCAGTCCCAAAAGATTAAAAAAATAAACCCTTTTGGTCTTCAGAAAGACTCTGATCTGAATCCTGCTGGTTATAAGCAGAGCATAATGCTCTACTGACACAGTAACACAGAATTTCTGCTTGTGTGCACAGTGCCCGTAAGACAGGATCCTCCATTAGGAAAATCTAGCTCACGTTTGTGCAAAAGGATTTTGGGTATCTCCTTGTGCAATGGCTTTAAAAGTCAAGATATTTGTTCTACATCTGCTACATAAATACAGCACCTGAACCAGGTATCAGATCTTGTTGTTCACACTTGAAATATATGTGTAATTTTACCTTTTTATTCCATGTGACTTTCTTTTGACTGTCATTTCACGAAGTCTTGCAGCTGACTTGAAAGAGAGAGACAGAGAGAGGGTATGTGAGAGAAATCACATGTAACATATATATAACATATCCACTTCAAACAATTTCTACATTATTTGCTTGATTCAGATTTTCCAAACTCAAGTCAGGACCTAAAACTAAAAATTGACAATAACTTCCTGCCAGTAATTAAGCTTTAAGAGGCCTTCAACATTTTAGAATGGGAGGGGGGGGAACACACACACACACACACACGAAAACAAAGAAACGAACAAATAATGAAACCACAAGGAAGGGACCGTGGCCCTCTGGTGTTCCTGGAAGGCTAATAGGTTTCCAAAAAGGGCCAAATTTGACCCCAGAACATGAGTTTCCCAACTAAACTCACAATATTACAGGGATTGGAACATAGCTGGCTGGGCCTCCAAACTGAATGACCCAGGTATATTTGATTATCTCAGATCTCATGACATAATCACTGTTCAAGAAACCTGGAGTATAGATGACATCAGCTTGAATGGTTACTTAGTGTTAACAATCCCACAGCTCCTAGTAATGGGAATGGTCGGCCAAAGGGAGGGTTGGCCTTAATGTTTTCTACCACCCTGAGAGCTCAGGTGAAATGGTTCCCACTTTGTGATAAAGCTGCTATTGCAGGGCTACTTGTCACCCAGATGAACTCCTATTTGTTTATTAACATCATCTTCCAAAGGTCAAACAACCCATATATGGAACCAATTGGAGTTCTATATACTTTATCTAAAATCCCTAGCACCATGTAATACTTATGAGAGATCTGAATGCCAAGGATTGGTCCAAATCATGATATTTTTACTCCTCCAATCTTCAGGATGTGCTACCAGTAGAGTCTTACATCTTGAGGAATTATAGACTATCAAAAGACTTGCAGACCAATTATGTGGATTATGTTTGGCTCGGATGGCTGTACGCCTTTCTCTTCATATTATTAATGGCAATGGTTTGTTTGATAAATGTGCAGAATTTACTTTAACTTCAGGGAGAGGAAGTAGTATGGTAGATTATATGCTAATTTCCCCATCTTTAGCCAGTTCTGTTAAGGAATTCACGGTTAAACAAAGATTAGAAAGTGATCTACCCTAATTGTCAACTCTATCACTCAAATATGATACATCTTCCCCCTGAGCCACATATAGATGACAATGTCCTATCCATACGTTATAAACATTTAATCTGGACAAAGTAAATGATAATGTTTCCAATTTCTTAAATTCCTCGTTTGCTAAAAACTTAAGAAATTTAATAATGATACCCATGGAATCTACTATGGCCTTGATTGTCTTTTAACTCGCTGGTTCTAAAAATGCGTTCTGTTCTAACCCCAAAACAACTTCACTTTCATAGACAGTCGGACAAGCTCACCCCTTAGTGGTTTGACAAGGAATTCAAGAAAATTATTAAAATTATTAAATTATTCTCTGAGTTGACATTAAAGAAAAATCAACTCAGAGAAATCTACTAGCAGTACAGGAAGAAGACTCTAGCAGTTCTTCCTCAGGAGCATTATGTAGCTAAAAATCAATACCAAACTTTGATAGCCCGGAAAAAGAAACAATCAACTCAGAAGCAGTGGAATGTTCTGTTAGACCCTGGACTGAACAAAGATTCCAAACTATTCTGAGCCTTGGTGTCTGGGGCGCTATCTGCCTGTTCAGGAACAGCCCACTGTAGCATTCCACCATATACAGTCGTGCCTCACTTAACGGCGATAATCCATTCCAGGAAAATCGCTGTTAAGCAAAAACGTCATAAAGCGAAAATAAAAAGCCCATTGAAACGCATTGAAAACCGTTCAATGCGTTCCAATGGGTAAAAACTCACAGTCCAGCGAAGATCCTCAATACGGCGGCCATTTTCGGTGCCTGTATAGCAAGGAATCCGTCCCTAAACACAGTGGGGAGCCATTTTAATTACCCGGCGGCCATTTTGAAACCGCAGATCAGCTGTTAAAAAAACATCGTTTTGCGAAGAATCGGTTCCCGAAGCAGGGAACTGATCTTCGCAAAGCAAAAAAACCCCTATTTAGACCATTATTTTGCGATCGCAAAAACGTCATCGTGAAGTGGATTCGTTGTAATGTGGGGCAATCCTAAAGTGGGGCACGACTGTATATGGGAAAGGCATTTTACTCACCTATTCGAGGAGGCCAAACCTATCCAAACAGTCAACATTTCATGGCCAGATTTAAACAAAATGCCATATTTGGTTCCAGTCACTGGAAGGCACCGGGTCTGGATTTAATTCCAGCAGAGTCCTAGAAGTCTAATGCAGACTGGTGGGTGTCATGAATTTGATTATGAAAATAGAATAGTGTTGTATTTCATAGGATTTAGTTCAGAGCTGCAACGAAAAGCTAGAAATCTGCTTATGCCCAGGTGCTAATTAGAGAGAAAATGTACAAGGTCAGTTTTTCTCCAGCTAAAGAAAAAAAAAGTTAAGAAGAGCAAGCTGACCCTTATCTTATCTCCACTCTGCTGGACAAGGACATCACTTCTTAATTTAAGAAAGATGGGCGAAGAGAGACGAGAGAAGAAGGAGAAGGACGGAGAAGAGATGACATACCGAGCGAAATGCAGCCGACAGAACTTTAATCAAAAGGATTGCGTAAGAATGCTTATTTAAGATCTAGTTAGACATTTTATTGTTTTCATTTTATAGAGGAAATTACTGGTGGCTAAGGCTGGGGGTTATTTTGGAAATACTAAATGACGTTAAACTAAGCTTGTTGAAATGTTATCTTTTGTAATAAAATATAAAAAGACAAATTGTCTGTAAGCTGTCTCCTTGTTTAGACCATGCTACAGTAGTAAATTGGATATTTTTGACTAAGATTGTTTTAATCTGGCCACATTACCATATTACCAAAAGAGGGTCCTAAAGTAAAAAGAGGAAGAGCAGACCTTCCAGATTGTTTATTTAAAATCGAGACAGACTTGGGTGAAGGAGTGTGAAGTCGCCTAGAGCAAAATTACCGGACCCGGTTTTGCTGGCATTAGGGACTAATCATTCTGAATCCCTCTCTGTCTCGTGTAAAGGCAGTTCTAAGGAACGCTTTTACCACAGTGGGCCCCCCTTTTACCTCAGTTATTTACATTCATTAACAACACTGGGCAAATCCCACATTCGTGGACAGAAGCAATAGTGGTATCAATCTATAAGAAGGGGAACAAGAACGAACTCTCAAATTATAGACCAATTAGCCTTCTCTCTATAATGAGTAAGCTTTATGCTAGATACTTAAATAAAAGACTAAGCTCATGGATTGAGCTGGAAAACATTTCAGGGCACGAACAGGCTGGGTTCCGAAAGAACCACTCCACTTTTGACCATGGTATAGTTTTAAACCATCTTGCAGAGAAGCATATGGGCCCGTACGGAAACAGCTTGTTTGCAGCTTTTATAGACTTAAAGTCTGCCTTTGATTCAATTCCAAGAGGAAATTTATGGAAAAAAAAAAGGGTGAAAGGATTTGTCCCTGTGGGAAAGAAATTACTGAGACCTTAGCGCACATCATTTTAGAATGTAGCCTATATAGGATTGAACTCATTCAATATCTTGGTTCACTCATGACTAAATGTACTGGTCTAGCTCCCACGAGCTATTTGAAATTTCTGTTGTCTGGAGAGAATCAAATAATTATAGAGTTAGTGGCTAGGTTTTTATTTTCAGCTATAAGAATGCACAATACTGAAATCAATGTACCCCTACTACTATATGCAGACGATGCGGTTCTCATGTCACTCTCGGAAATTGGCCTTAAAACAAATCATATGTGCATTTTTGAGCTATTGCAGGAAAAATGTACTAACAATCAATTTTGACAAAACGAAAATAAGGTTCTTCTACATAGTAGAAGTAGGTCATGGTGGTGCTGAGGGCTAAACTGCAGAAGACTGTGTTGCAGGGTCAGAAGACCAGCAGTCGTAAGATCAAATCCACGTGACGGAGTGAGCTCCCGTCGCTTTGTCCCAGCTCCTTGCCAACCTAGCAGTTTGAAAGCATGTAAACGCGAGTAGATAAATAGGTACCATCTCGGTGAGAAGGTAAAACGGCATTCCCTAGTCACACTGGCCCTGTGACAACGGAAACTGTCTTCGGACAAGAGCTGGCTCTACGGCTTGAAAAACGGGATGAGCACTGCCCCCTAGAGTCGGACACGACTGGACTAAAAAATGTCAAG